AAGCTACAGGCGAGCTGGAGGTAAACTCGAGGACTACTTTCAGATCCTACTGCGTCCGCGATCGGTGAGGTATGCGGCTTGGACTAGCCGCAACAGTACTGTAATGTGGGAGTATTACATTTTTGTCTCCACACGCACACGAGAGTCGACCAACCGCACCATCGACCTGAGCACAATCAGACATGACCAAGATGCGCGGATCACAACGGTGACACACCAAAGTCGCTAGCAGACAAAGAGTATCTAGATGGAGACAAATTACGGTAACGCTTCTTTTGAGGAGATCGCAGCTGGCAAACGTGCCTTTGGAGGGTCTCCGTCTATCTCTTGCAGCATACTTGCGTGCTAGATTGGACTACAGTACTCATTTGCGACGAACGCGAACTGTATCCCTTTCCAACTACGCCTTTAACTTCAATTCATGGGCAATGATACTTCACAAAGCAAACTTGACGTTGTTGATGCTGAACTACACTTTTCGTGAGTTTCGGACCCCAGTCCAAAGATCGGTCCAAATTAATATTCCTTTTGTCTCCTGTGTCGCGAGATGTTAAGCTCTGGCTACGAGACGCATATCAACATGACTGTGGTGTTCCCCCGGTTCGAATGACACCTGTTTCGTCGAATGGCACTAGAGATATCGAACTCGTTTAAAAAAAACCCGAATGAGGCTCGAATAAATCGTCAACAAAATCGAGCATAGGGTTAAGACACACCCTCAGGGTGACTCTCTGACAGTCATTCCTCCCTCATGTCGTTGGTCAGCGGCACCTCCCCTTTTGCTCAGTGGTTATCACAATCATACCGTACATTGGCGACATCTTCTTGCGCCTTTCGTGCGCGGTCGTGCGTATCCGTCCTCCGCATCTCCCGCTATCCCCTGCACCTTTATACGACATGCCCCAACCTTCCGACATCCGCCCCCAGCCTCAATCCTCCGCTCCCCATCATCCGTCGCCACTGCGTCGATGACGTTTGACCGCCTGCCGCAGGCCGTGGCCTTTCTGCAGCAGCTCGTCGACAGCCACCCGGACACCGTGTATGGGTATTGCGCAATGGACCGCGCCGAGGCCACGTGGCCCGACGCACCCGCTAAGAGCCTCTACTCGGCAAACATCTTCAGCCCCGCCCTGCGGAGCGAGCCCAACTCCACGTCCACGAGCTCCGGCGATGAGAAGGGCCTCTCCGCCGCAGAGCGGCAGCAAGCGGTTGGTGACATTGGGCACCACACGGTGACCAACTACTACCGGTGCACGTTTGACGGGGCGGAGATTGAACTGGACAACTTTCGCGGGTGCTCCATGCAGCCGGAGCAGGTGGTCTTATTTGTGACGGATGACGAGTTTTTCAAAAGGGCGTCGCTCGTCGCGGAAGACCCCCTCAACCAGGTAAGGGTGGAGCTTCTCGCGCCGCGGCCTTCGACGTCGTCATCATCATCATCCTCGTCACTGATGCTGGACGAGCGCAAGACAGGCGTCACGGCCGACTTATCGCTGAAGAACATCTCCGTCGTGGGCGGGTGCGCCGTGGTACAGGCGGTGGTAACGGCGGTGAGCCTAGGCGAGGCGGAATTCGTGCAGGCGATTTACCGAGACACGTACCTTGCCAAGCGGGCGGTGGCACTCGACGTACCGCGCTCCAAGCTGCCGTTCTACCCACTGGACAAGCAAACCAAAACGTTGCTGCGACAGATGCCGTCGGCGATGTGGGTGGTGTCAACCAGCGCGGCCCACGGGGAGGATCTGGCGATGACGGCGACGTCCGTCACGGTGCCTGCGGCGGCGCGCGGGATGATATGCTTCAATGTGGGGCACTCGAGCGCGTTCTACGCGGGGCTCGGCGGGGTCGGGGCGGGCGTGAGGCTGTTCGCGCTTTCGACAAGGCAGAAGGACATTGCCGAGCGGTACGTGACGAGGGCTGCGTTGGGGAAGGAGGATAGGACACGGGTGGAGGAAGAGTGCATGGTGGCGGCAAGTTGCACGATTGAGCATACCGAGGATGTGCAGGACCATCACATTGTTTTGACGAAGATTGACGGCGTCAAGGTGCCGGAGAAGGACGAGGAGGGGTTGATGCCTTTGGTTTGGCAACACGGAAAGTTGATGACGTAGCGGTAGGCGCCGGGTGCTGATCTCAGCACTCTCAAGAGTCGGCCCTTGTGCGCTACAGTATTAAATTATATAAACGCTTTTTTAATTGAAACAAGGTCTTGAGCAAAGAAAAATGCAGCAACTCACAACTCAGAAATGGCCATTAGACTCGCCCCTCCCGGTGCACCGCCCCGGTGCACCGCCGTTCCCATCGCCGCCCTCTCGTTTCCCCCCCTTTCTATCCCGATCGCCTCCGCCGACGACACCCTCATCCTCACTGAAGGGAACGTCATCCAAGCCCTCGACGGTGAACAAAACACACACTCGTTCTCTCGTTCTCCCGCCATTTTTTGTACACGTACGGTATGTGAAATGTATTGCAGAAGGGACTTCACTATACATGTATATATCACATTCAGGTTGCAACGTGTTTCTGACTGTCGTACCTCCGGTGAGTGAGAATGTCCGGCGAGCAAGAATGGCCGCGGCAGGAAACAATGTCGTCTCTGGCCATCCCACCGAGCACAAGGAAGAGTGCCTGGCCTCGGTCTACTTGACGGTGTAACCACAAACAAGTGCTGATCGGATAGCCACGGCGGTATCCCGTACCCCTGTCTTCTTCCTCCCTGTTTCCAACCATCTCTTAAGAGATGGTTGGAACAGGGACACTCAACACACTTACACATTAATACACATTAATGTGTGAGTGTCCGTGCACGAAACAACCCAAAACCTCCATTTCACACAACCTCTTCATGCTCCATCATGCTCCCCCCACCACTACCAACAAGCCGCAGCCTCCCGACGACCGCCCGTCTTCGACGCTACACATGCCGTCAACCTCAACGCCTAACACCGTCGTCAAGGTTTCGATTCCTGGCGGAAACGAAGTTTCTAATACCTGACAAAGCAAAACCACCGCAAATCCGCCGTGCATATCTTGAACTTCATACTACAACGACTGATATCGCATGTGCCTGTTCCGCCTCCAGTTTTGTTTGCTGGTCTCGCTACGCGCAGTCTCTACGTTGGACGACACTATTCCCCGCACACTGACGCAACTGCGCGCGACACATAGAAAAGATGTGCCGGCTACTTTTTTTGCGGAGAGGGGCATCGAGGCGTCAGGTAACTAGAAACAACTTCAAATACATACAAATTTCTCCTGTTACATCATCCCTTACTACATATACCGTGGGTACAACCCCTCCTGTCCTGGCCAGGACATCCCCTTTTGCCCAGTGGTTATTCACACACTCACAATCACACTACTCCAAGAGCTCGTAAAAGTGCAGTCTTGCATAAGAACGAACTTTTACCTGGATCGCAATGTGCCGACCTGAAGTAGAACAGTACCAACGACGTCCCGCAACGGTTGCTAGGCGGATTTCGTCATCTCCTGTCTTGTAGAACACTCCATCTTCATCTTGCTTTTGCCGAATCCTCAGTTTCCTCTCCAGTTTCCTCTCTAGATCCGCCGCCGTGAGTTTGCCCTCATTCGTATCGATGAACTGGCGCAGATCGCTCTCTTTGAGATACCCAACATCATCGTATTGCTTTTCGCAGACAGCGCTTTGACTCGTCACGGACAGGATTCGTAACGTTCCTCCATCCACCGTCGCTATTCGCGACCCGTCCCGGAACCAAGCAATATGCGTTGGAGGTTCACTGTTTCTGTTTGTCCTTAATATCACCCTGTTTCTGTTTGTGCTATACTTTAACATCACCCCTGTCTCAATATCCCATATCGCAAGCTCTCTTCCAATTCCAAAGGCTACGCGTCGCCCGTCGTCAGACCATTCCAGCGCATGGGGTGGTACCATAAACATATAATATTGGCACTGGTACCGATATGTTACACCTGTCTCCCAATTCCAGATCATAACTCCGACTCTGCTTGGTTTCCCATTTTCATCAATTTCAACATATCTAGTTGACGCGATCCACTTGTCATCTGGAGACCACTTCACCGAAACAAAAGAAGGACCATCATAAGGGAACAGAGGCCGCCCAACAGAGAACGGAGCCCGCTCAACAGAGAACGAAGCCAGCACACCTTCTTCACCTTCTCTCCAGGGCCGCTTCACAAAGTTGAACCAATCTATGTGAACTTCGTCTGCAAATTCGTCTGAATACCACTCAAGCAGACCGCGGTCCGCAGCCCATTTCAGGCCGACCGAATCTGGGACACGTTCGGGGGCATCGCCCATCGTCTCTCCTGTTTTGGCGCCCCGCAGCACGACCCCGCCATCTGTATGCCCACATGCCACCCTGATCGCCTCTCCCGTTCTGGCGCTTAACAGCACGACCCTGCCGTCGTTACTCCAACTGCCAAGCGCGATCTTCGTGTCGTTTCCAGCCCACGCCATGCACCCGATCCACATGTAGGTGTCCGTGATTCTCTCCCATAACTTGTTCCCAGTCTTCCCGTCCCACAACCCCATCCCCCTTCCAAACGACACGAACACCCTCGTCCCATCATTGGACCAACATGCTTTGGACCAACATGCTTTGGACCAACATGCTTTTGCGT